AAATAAGACTGGAAATTAACAGCAACAAAAGCCAAAATCACAATTACATTCTTAGTGTAAAACTGTAAACACATACACACATGGCAGTCCAATTTTCTGGTATTGTTATTTGTAAGTTTAGTAACAATCAATGCAACTAGCTGTGCCACATTCAAAATGATTGAAACAAATCCAAAAGCCATTAAGTGCAAATATGTGTTATTTAATCTCTGCTTTGACACACAACAGCTAAAGTGAAGCACTGAGTTTTAAAAGCAGGCATTTATTAAAATCACGTAAACAAAGATTACTAACCATATCACCTGCTCGTGGATCACAAAACCGATATGTGTGCATTTTACCAAAGCGTAAAACTGATCCGTGATGAAGTAATGTGGTTTCGTACACCTTCTGATTATTAATGAAAGTTTCAGCGTCTGCATTGGCTGGTGTTACTGTCACAGCGCCCTCCATGTTGGTCAGCACACAGTGACGAGGATGAATATTGGGAGAAAACAACTGAAAATAAGTTAAAGAAATAATTGCAAAAAACAATTAAAAATTTAAACAAGCACCTATAAGAAATCTTTGTTAAAAAACAGGCAGCAGAGATTAATTATATATACACAGCTTTCCATGGGAATTGACCCAGAGTGTGAGGTGAATGTCATGCAATTGCAATTTATTTAAGCTATACTACAAGGTTTGTTTGCATCAAAATTTGTGTGCAATTTTTTTTAAAAATCAAATAATTTCTCTAAGTTTGATATTTTATTTCAAACCAAGCAGACATAACAATAGTGGTTATCCTACCAGCCCCAGGTACATTGACATTGACTTGACCCATAAGAGTTAAAAATATCCCTTGCATTATCAAGTACAGGCAATTTGTTTTTCAAGATTGTTGGCATTTCATCTAATTCACTCACAAAGCGAAGTTCACAAATTTGCATGTTGTTATTTCAAAGTGGTTACTGTAAAATACTTTATTTTAGCTAGAATTAATTTTCGGTGACCAGATTCTTGGGTATTTTGTATAGAATTCATTTTCACTGATTTTTGATGAGTTGAATGTAAAATATAGGAAATATAGTACATTCGCTGGATTTTGTTTTCACTGATTCAACTATTCAGTGAAAATAGCAAATATAAATTCCAAGTGAAGATAAAGTATTTTACAGTAACAGCCTTCTAACCCCATGATTGCATTCAAATCTCACCTGTATGAACTGTCCACTGCTGCTTCGTTCTGTTCCAATCTCGGTCATGTTAGGTTGGATACGATGTACCTGTGGCCTGTACTCTACAACTTCATTTCCATCTGACAGAAAAATTACCATATAATTACCATATAATTAGCATACAATTAGCATACAATTACCATATAATTAGCATACAATAATTAGGAGTTAGCTGACATTTTGACAAGTTTTTTTTATTTAACATTTTCAAGAAGACGCCCTGGCATAAAATACACTCCACTTCAAAATCTTATTTTGTGACTTGCAAAACTTTTCTCCTGAAGTTAATTCTGTAGTTTCCTCTGCACATCTATTATTTGTTAACCTTTTCACCACAAGTTCCCTCTTTCATCACAAAATAGTTCCCGTTTATTGCCTGCACTTTCCGGGAGAAAATTGGGACAAAAATAGCCAAATTTTGAGTAAAAACTGAAAATTGACTCAAAGTTCGTCTGTTGGCTCCAAAATCAGAGTTCATTTCCAAAAATATTGAAGAGTATAAAACAAATTTGGGCGAGAAAGCCAGGTGGTGTAAAGGTTAAAAATCATGAGATCCAGCAAATGTTTGGTCAACTCACCTGGACTTAGCTCCAATAAATACGGCAGTTTGTCTTGTTGCACAGGGGTGATGTCATCATATTGCCAACTTCTGTCACTCGATGGAGACTGCGCTTTGTTTTTATTTTTCTTGTTCTTCTTTTTCCTAGGCTGATATCCCATTGGTCGTTTCTTCAACTGAAACATCAGGGATCCTGTAAAAGAATTACCGGAATAAATCACTAAACAGTATTGTCAGGAGCAAAATATAATGCAAGTTTTAAAGCAGAAACAACAAGTATATTTATAATTCGTGAATAAAAAAAAATGCCCATAAATTGTTTTATTGTTCATAATAGCAGCAGAAAACAACGCCATTATTTTATTTTTGAATGTGAATGACTCTTGCTAACCAGTCACTTAAGACACACATACACAAAACAAGTTTGTCATCCATGTTTTCATGCAGTATATTTTCTGCAGAACAAATGAACTAGTAAAGTGACCAAATCAACTTTTGATGGTACACAAGACATCCTGAACAGACAATTTAAAGAACAGGAACTCTTACCTTTATTCCTTGGATATCTCATTATGATATGTAACGGCCGCTCATCATCATCCAGAATTGTCTCCTTCCCCCATCCACCAGTCACAACGTACTCATTTGGATTCGCACCAGGGGGAACAACAACCTGTGGGGAACGAAAAGTATATAACAGGAATGGGTAACAAAACTAAGCAGATATTTGAATTCAGAACAATGGAAGAAGAGAAAAACATAACATTTCAGGTGAATTCACAGTCACTTGAAAGTATTACCGGGTACATAATTTTTTTTTTTTTTAGACATAATCAATATCAACAAAA